ATCTAAAAATATTTATTTACCGTGGTATAAGAACTTTGATTCTTACTAATTGAAGGAGAACATACTTTTTCATATTTTTCAATAACGAATTGTGATAATGTAATCATATTTTTAACACTAAATTTATGAGAAGATGGAAAAGATGATTTAATCATTGATTTTTTATTTGAAAATATCATCATGGTCAAAATCAAAATTTAGAATGAATGAAAGAAAAATAAGAAAAATAAAGAGTTACAAAGATTGATGAAGAGGAATCATAGTTATTAAAAATTATTTATTATATCATATCGGTGAAGTTGTCCTTCGAGCCAAGAGCTCAAAAATAACAAATCACGTTTTTTATTAATTTTTATTACAAGAAAAATAATCGTTCACCTAACAAATGTTGTTGGTAAATAGTAAATGTAATCAATTGAGACACGTAAAAAATATATACACATTAGTAAAGGATAAATTTCTTCTAGTAAGAACATGTTTTACAACCAACAAATTCATAAATTGACTGATAGATAATAATTGTAGAAATCACATGATTTATTATCAAGAACTTTTTAAAGAATTCAACTAATTTATTATTAACTTTTTAAAGAATTCAACTAATTTATTATTAACTTTTTAAAGAATTCAACTAATTTATTATTTACAAAGTAAGAATTATTAATGAAAAACAAATGAATGTGAAATATATAAAAACAATTATAATTAAAAGTTTTTCCAGTGCCAAATTAATTTTTGAATGTTCATGGGATTAATAAAAATTTCTTATAATATTCAATTGTTAAAAAAAATATTATGAAGTATCTTTTGAACATAAATTTTTATAATTAAAATGCAAGTAACTTAAAAATACTTAAAGCTCAAATGAAAGGACTTTTTTTTTTACTTAAGATTTGATAAAAAAAAAAAAGTTGACTACGGATGAATATATAAAAGAAAAATTAAAAGAAGATCATGAAACATACTTCATGAATAATGTCCATAGAATGTTCAATCTTATTACTATATATTTCTTAAAAGATATAAAATTGGTAAAACGAAATAAAATAAAATAAAGAAGTACTCTTATAAAAAAAAGAGAAGAACAAAAATTAGAAGACAAAAATAAAACAAAATAAAATAAATAATCATAAAAATATATATATTATTTTTAAAAATTAGATATTAAAATATTTTTATTATGATGCAGAATAAAATAAAATAATATTATATTATTATTTTGATTTAAATAGTAAAAATTATGGTATTAATATTTAATATTTTGTTATATTTTTATTTTATATATAAAATCTATGAATAAAATATTATGTAAGAAAAAGTTTCATCGTATTATTTATATATATATATATATATATATATATAATATTTATACGTAAAAATCTTAAAAATTGTAAGTATTTTTTAATTTTCGAAAGTCTCTGTTTCTAAAAGAAAAAAAACTTGGTACGATAAAATGAAGTTGTTGAGTGTGGTGAGGTATAATCGAAAGAAAGAGATGACAGAGTGGAGGAATTCATCCATGCATGATGCATATGCATTGATGTATGGATATGGATTCATTAATATTTATTTAGCTTACGTACAACAATTTTATTTCTTCTATTTCCACACCTTTATCCAAAAAGGTCCCCGACATTACGAATGAATACTCCTCACACCCCTTTTTTTGTGTTTTTTCTTAATGGGGTAAAAACATATACTTCCTTTAGCTACCCAACCCTACCTTTTTACATTTTCCCTTCAATTATTCATAACGGAAGAAAATTAAACAGTGCCCAACAAAAATTAGTGGCTCAAACAAAACATTATCTACACGTGCTGCCTCCATTTTCCATCGAATCATATATACGCAAATTTTCTTTCTTACCTACGTTCCTCCATAAAATATATACTTCTCCGCGGCAAAATCTAACAAAATCTTCTGCAATTATCACATGTCTTGCTTCATTCACCCCACAAAAAAAAATAAAAAAAAAAATCGTGTTTTTCGTCCAAATTAAAACTTCTTTCAATTCCTTTTCTTTTTACATTTCAAACATGAATTTGATATTTCAAACATTTTAAAAAAAGAAAAGCTATTTTTTTTATATAAAAAATGGGAAAGAAAAGGAGAGTGGTATGAAGTGGAAGATATGGATGGGGTGGTGGGGATTTATAGTGTGTTTGTGACTGGATACTTGTCTTTTATGGTTTGTTGTCACAACTCTTGGGTTATTAAGAAAAATTCTTCGTATCTAGACCCACTTTCTGACTAAATTTCAGTAAAAATAAATATTGAGTCAGAGTTTATGTAATGGTTTTTATATCAGAAGTGGGCCTTTACTTGACCCGACAAACCCACCTTGTGAATGATAAAAACTTGGGCCAAATCATCATCATAGTTGCAAATACGAGTATTTTAGTTTCAATTCCTAACAAGATATGTCCCTTGTTTCTCTTCAAAACTATCATGAATGTTTGTTTCTAAAACTGCATCTTACATTTATCTACCACATATCAATGTTTTTTTTATGCTTATGCTTTGTACTTCGTTATCTACTTTTGTGCCGATAATTAGTGGTTGATCTTTACCATTAATCTTAAGGGAGTCAATTAATATATTATTAATAAATAATAAATAAATATAAAAGAAAAAAAGAAGATGAAAAGATGAAAAGATAAAATTGTAGATATTTTAAATATATTAAATGATCATTAAGTTTGATGGGAACAAAATTAAAAATTAGATGAGAGTTACAAAATTGAAGAGAGACTGAGAGGATAAAATTGTAAATATACACGTAAATATATTAAATGTTAATTAAGTTTGGAGGGTCAAAATCATAAATTATATGAGTTACAAAATTTTCAACTCCTAAGAAGATCCACCACTACCTATGATGTTCCAACAAAGATAATGAAACCATAAATCAAAAGATAATTTTAATTACTTTCATCCTAATTAATGATATCATTTGGGGAATATGCTTCAATTATTTAATATTCTATTTCCATTTTTTTTCTTGTGTCTTGAATGAACAATTTAATCCTTGAATATATTAAACATTGTGATCAGTTTAATTATTGAAAGAATTAATAAGTCGTATAACAATTCAAATTGGTCTCTAAGATTATATAGCTTAATGACAAAAATAAGTCTCCTATTTACTATCAAAATCGTTTCTTAAAATTATATTTTTATTCATAACATAAAGTACAAAACTTCAAATTGGTCTCTAATATTATAGCTTAATGACAAAAGGAGTCTCTTGTTTACTGTCAAATTGTTTCTTAAAATTATATTTTAATGATAAAATAGTCCAACACAACCTAATGAAAATACATAATTGAATGACTTTTTTATATATTCACGGACTTAAAATTCATGTTTTTTTTTTCAATAACTAACTTCACCCTTATTTAAGAACTCCAAAATAATTATTCATCATTTTTTTATACTACTCTAATCCCAAAATGACGGCAGCTTTAATTATTTTATTATTAACTTTTCAGAAGATAAATTCACAGCAAAATTTATATTTGTAGTGGATAAAAATAAAGCATTTATTGAAAAAGTGAGGTTAATTTAATAAAATAATTTTGTTAAGTAACATATATATTGTTAATGTGAGAAAAAGTAATATAAAATCTGTAAGAAATAAAATAAATTTTAAATATGATTAATAAAATTAACTGGTATTAAATATTTTTCAATTAATTAAAAAACTAATTAATGTTGTTTATATTTTAGTTTGAAGAAAGTATAGGCAACAAGAGCAAAAGAATTTATGATGAGATTAATTGATGTGGGTTTTTGACCACATGTTGGGTTTCAACTTTTGACTCATTCTTCTGCTCGTCTTGGGCCCAAACTACTCTATGCTAAACCCATTTTTCCTGTACTCCTCTTTACGTCCAACAACTACTCCATGTGAAGTTTGGTCAAACGTAAACTCTTTGACCATATGTTTTCATGCGTGTTTTGGTTGAATATTTAGCAACCTATGTGATTTTGAGTACAACTTCACCTTCGTTGACTCTGTTCTGGCCATTCATTCTACAAAGAAGCTAAAGCATGTTGTTTACATGATTATACCAATTTATTATGACATGATGTTGATGGGAAATGAGTTCAAGTTTCTCTGGTTTTTAAAATCAAAGAGGAGGATAATTAATTAAAGTATTTCTAAAAGAAAGCAAATAGTTTACTGAAGAATGATTTCCTCAATTTTATTTTTTATTTTAATAATTGATATTTTTTAAAGTAGTGAGTAATACGTTAACAACTCTATTATTATTGACTGATAGTTTAGTGAATATTAAATTATGCGAAAACTTTGATGAACAAGTAACGTTATTGCATTTTTTTAGTAAACCGATCAAGACTAACTGGTTATAATATCCATTCTCTACAAGTTTATTTAAGTTTCGATCTGACGCCAATTATTTCTTCATTAACTATGTCATTTTTAGTACATATTTTGGATAAGCTCAGTCTTAACCTAAAAATTGAATACGCAACATCCTTGAAGCTGCAAAAACAAGTGGGTTATTGTACTCTCCAACTACGAAAATGGGCCACAGAAACATTCATAATTCCATGATATCATTGGCGTTTCCAAAATGAACTCAAACAACAAAATTGATTTTAAGCTTACATCAATGGCCCTCTGTCTTTATCTCTACCAAGAGAATTAGGTAAGCTAATACTTCAACATTGAAAGCATCATGTTCAGCTAAAAGCTCAGCACTACCAACCAAAATCAATCCCAGCTTTTCTGGAGATTGACTGTATTTTTAAGATACACATGATAATACAATGGACATTTAATTACAGTTCTTGAGCATGATGTTCACAAACATGGATACTGGGATTCATTTTCCATTCACAACCTAGAGAGATATTCATTCTTATATATAATTCCACACTAAACAGTTAGAAAAAATTGCTGACAACAAACATATTTTAATACTCTCACCTTCATAATGAAAAGTCCTATGATATGATATGATCCATAAGATCATGGATAGGATGCAAGCAAAGGGACAGGAATACATGTGGAGTTCCTCCAAACCATAGAATGCAATTTGAGTGCCTCCCTAGCCCTTTCTTTGGCCTTGAAACAACCCTCCACCTGAAGCACCAAACACAACTTTGATACTGCCCCAAATAGCAACATTTCATCAAGGACTCTAGGAGTGGCTGAATGCCTACAAATGGAGGTCAAAATTTTGACCCCTCTATCACTTGCCGCTTGTGACACCCTCAGAATTTTCTTTGACACAACAGCCACTCCAGCTCCATGGTTCACCAATTCAGCCCTCCCTTCTGCACAGCCACAAAGTTTGTCCAAAGCTATCAACATGAGTTCACATGCTCTCCTTTCAGACACATTAAGAAGTAGATCAATGAGGACTAAAACCCCACCACTCTTAACTGCTTTGACCTTGTTCCTGCCCCATGAGCACAACTCCACTAGAAGTTTCAATGCTGCCTTAGAAGCCTCTGGTGAAATCTGATCCCTCAACACTCTAATTATCTCCCCAAACAGCTCTATTGTGACATTGTTCAATTGGGTTGGACCAGCCACCTTAAATACTGACTTCAATAGCACAGTTGCATAACCTCGAGATTGGCACTTTCCAAGCTTCAAGACATGAAGCAAAGACTCAACAAACTGAACTCCTTCATTGCTCATCAGGTTTTTAAGCTGAGATTCAGAAGGGTGCAGGTGAAACATGACTTCTATAGCTGCTTCACTCGTAACGGCTGAATTTATCATCATGGTGGAAGCCAAGAAATCTATTGCACCAGCAGACTGCAAACAGATTTTGTTACTTTCACTTTCAAAAGCAATATATTGAAGCCTACTAAGACACTTGAGCTGTTTTTCTGGGAACATCTTTGCCTCTAAGAGAAGCTTGACAATTTCAGTTTGGTCAATGGTTGGCTTTGGAGATGAAAAGGTTTCAAGTCCAAGCCAGGCATTGTGGATGCACCAAGCTTGGATCAAACGTTGGAGGGTGTGGTTTGGAGTAAGATCTGTGTGTGACAGTGATTGCCTAGTGACAGGGCAGGTTCTGCTGTTCTTGCATGAAAATAACCATCTCTCAATGTTTTCTCTGTCATATGTGATTCCTGTGCACACTGTCACAGGGTCTCTCATAAGCTGCAGAGAAACTGGGCACAGGAAAAGGGTAGGAACCTCCATTTCATCCATGTTTGGAAGGATTGAACAGTACACCCACTATATTATATTGTTAGCTGTTTTTTTTAATATATGAAGCATGTCTTGAAGACACGTAGTAACGATAAAAAAAGAGTGGTAGATAAGGTACGAATATTTTACACAAGTTGTTGCAAATGATGAAGTCAACTCATGGAAATTAATTGGTAGAGATGGTGATGGTGAATGAGTTAAGAGCTTTGGTTAGCTCTTTCTTGGGTACGTATTAGAATATTAAATGATGAAATATGAGGCCTTCATTTTTCATGATTACATACCAGCTACCATTGCAAATTGCAATTGCAATTATATAAAATATAAGAGTGTATATATATTGACTTATATTTAATTATATAGTTTTTCAATTTTGAATGAAAAAAAAATGGAGATTGGTATTCTTTGACCTCTGCTTATTGCTGCCAAGCATTAGCCACAATTGATGAAACAGATCTTTTCATCTTATTTTTTTATACATAATACGTCTTTCCTCATGTTTTTTGTTTGATTCTACGAATTGCCTTTAGTGATAGTAACCAAGTTTTTTTATTAACTTGTAACATTTGTTTTTTTATTAAACTCTACTTCAAATTGTATTTTTCTAAAATAATAACTTTTACTTTTTTCTTTAAAATATTTATTAATGTTTTTACACAAGATGTGTTTTTCTTTTCTTTCTATTCTTCATCTTTTAAAATAATATAATTAATTGAAACACAAAATATAATTAACATAAGCCATCCTTAACTAAAAAAATGACAAAAGTTTAAAATATATTTTTATCAATAAAATAAAAAAAAATTATATAAAAACAACATATAAACATATCCCTTGTTTATTATATTTATCAACTACTCTATTAAATAGTTTTATCAAACATATAAAATTCAATAAGTTATATAACCTTAACAATTATGTTTTTCAAGTTTCAACTAATTTTGAGCTTCTAGCTAGTGTTTTAGTTACTTCTATCACAGTATTAGTAAAACTTCTATTTTTCTTTTCAAAATAATACAACTTATTTCAAATTTATTTACATAGAAATAAGTACGATGTTTTTACATGATTTATCCTATAGAGTGAGAATAGTGCCGCCGTTGTTTTTACTGTGAAAATGGATAAGACGTTGTTGAGACTCGTGTGCTTTGAATTGCGTATCTGTCTTCCTTGTTCTTCACTTGGTCTGTACTCACTTGTTAATGTCCTTTTTTTTTTTTTTTTTTTAAATGTCCCTTTGTTCAGGATATTATATAGATTTGGTTTTGATAAAATAAATAGGGAGCATGAAAATAGAAAAAAAAAGACAAATGGATAGTAAAGAAAAATTATGAAGATTTAATTTATTTATAAGAAAAAAACGACAAATGATAAATAAAAATAATAAAATGCTTGATGTTAAATAGAAGTTATATGATAAATATCGTGTATATTCCAAAATCTCAAATTGGGGAGATAATTTATATATATTATTTTTATTTTTAATTTAGTGAGTTTTTTTAAATAAAATTATGATAAATAAGAGTTTGATATAGAATGAAATTAAATATAAAGATGATATCATGTGAAAAGCAAAAGTTTGAGCGAAAGAGAAATAGAAGGCTTTTCTATCTCCAGCTGTACTTAGGCATGCTGGATGGGTGTTGCCTCCTCCTGCGCGTAACTTGTTAATTCGTTCCCGTTTTCAATTTTTTTAGTTAGAAAATAATTCTTCATTTTTTAGATTTTTTTTTTTCGATTTCTCTCCTTCTATATTTTTTGTCAAAATAATTATATTTACAATAAACTAATTTTAATATACAAATAAGTTTTTTTAATTCTGTAATTTTTAAATTATTATTATTAATCAAATATATATTTTAATTGATTATATTTATAAATTAAATATAAAAATTACATTTCCCGTCTTCGTGATCGATTTTTTAAAATACGGAAACCTGCACCCACACCCACATCTTACCAATCCTTTTTTTTTTCATCAAACTCCGCGACGAATTGATCCAGTGAGGCGAATTTAATTGTTATCATTAGCTATACTTACTAACATGAGAGATAAATATATTTCTTATTTTTTTAAATGTTTTTTTTATATTTAAATATTTTTATTACAGTAAGTTATTATTATTATTATTATTGAAGTTATTTTTTTTAACTTGTTTTGATTTTAAAGATAAAGTGATTAATTAGTTCTCAATTTTTAAAAAATAAATTTAATTATTTTAATAACTTAATCAACTTTATGATAATAAAAAATTGTTATTAAATAGTAAATTTAAATGTAAATAATTATCAAAATAATATATTTTATAAATTTATTCATTAAGTTTATGATGATAAAAAATATTATTGAATACTAAATTTAAAGTATAAAAATATTTAAAATAATATTTCAAAAAAATTAAAATGAATTTAATCAATTTAAAATATGGAAAATAAAAGTAAGTTTAAAAACTAATATATATATATATATATATATATATATATATATATATATATACTTTATTATTATTATGAAAAGCAACACACAATAAGTATTTTTATGAATATGTTACGTTAAATATATATTAATAAAATAAGTAAAAATGGATGAAATCGAGGATTAAATTAAAATTTACAAAACTTTTAAATATAAAAATATTAGATATCTCAATTTTAAAATATAATGATTAGAATCGTGAATATAATAAAATTGGAAAATAAAATTACAATCAAGGCAAAGATAAATGTTTGAAAAGAAAATTGTGTTCTAGTCGGGTAGGAAACTCAACATAGAAATAATTTAATTTAATCTTTCAATTTTTTAAAAATATTTTTAATAACTAATTGTTATAATACATTTCTTAAAATAAATATTCAATAAAAAATTTGTCTTAAATAAAATTAAAGACATAGACAGTAAAAAAAAGTTAAAAAAATAATTATAATAATTCAATAATAACGAGGACTATAATAAAAATAAAAAATATTTTTATTAATTTTTTAATTTTAAAAAACAAAAAAATTGGAGATTATTTTAAAATTATTAAAAAACCATTTTTAAGAATTACATTTTTTATTATTTTAGCTCGTAAGAGAAATAGGAAAGAAAATAAATAAAAAAATTATTTTTTTATTACTTAAAATTTAAGAATTTTTTTGTTAAGATTTTTAAATTTCAAAAAGTTATTTTAAATTTTAAAATTAAAAATTATCTTAATTCATAAGTACTAAATTTTAAAAATAAAAATTAGCGTTTTTTATTTATTTCACATTTAAATATTTAGAAACTAAAATCATATTTTAGTAAATTTAAATATTATAGTAATTATTTTTAATGAAAATATTATAAAATCATTTATTCCATAAACTAAAAATACAATAAATCATAAATAACCTTTACTAATTTTCTAATCCCATGAGTCAATGAAAAAATATGGAAAAACGAGGGAGAGATAATAATTTATATATCCTAATTAAATAAAACGACTTTTTGTTTTGAATTATTTCTCTTCCAAATATGAAAATAAAATCATGAATGCTTCGTCATGAAGTTTATTTTTTATTTTTTAAATTTCTATTATTGTATTTTTTTCTCCAAAATTGGTGCAACGGGTCCCTTTGTCTGCTTCTTTGTAAATAGTTGACGCGCTTTGATGGTACATTTCACTGCCAAACTGACGGTAAAAGTGTAATGGCAGATTAGTCACAGTCAAAAAGTGTCGCTATCTACTTGCACCCAATTATTTGACTACGAATCTGTAACTACCATAGATAACCCCAACAACAGTTTATATAATGTGAAAATTGAAATTAAAATGAGCGAAATAAGAAAATAAAATAAAAAACTAATATTGGATTAAAATAATGATATTTATCTTTAGTAAACTTGTATATGAAATTAGTAAACTAATACGACAGCGCAACACGTAAGATAGACATATAAGACAATAGATGAAGAAAAAATTTATTATATTCCATTCAATTCAATGATTTGGATTTGACTCTGAAGCTGATCGTGATCCATCACAATGGCATCCAGAATGAGTATTTCAGACATTATAACTTTCAATGTCGTGTGCCCTTTTTCTCAATATTTTATTAATTAATGTTTTTACCTTGTTTGATAAAATTATATATATATACGTAGTTTTAATTGTATACTCTGACCACCAATTTTCCGGTGGAGTATACCGCGAAATGTATGAAATGGTCTCACGTATAATATTTTTAAAATGATAGATAATGAATTGCACAAAGTTTATTTTGAATTATAATAGATTAGATGAAAATTATTAATCTATATTAATTCTTTGAAACTTAATCAAAATTATGATCCATAAATATTCAATTCATTCATAAAAATATTTTAGAAATAAAATAATTATAATAATAATAATTATTATTATTAGTATTAGTGTTATTATTATTATTATAAATTATATTTAAAACTTAAAAAAAATGTAAAGTTAAGAAAAATTAGTCATAAAAAATTTGGTTTGATTAATTTCAATTGGTTAAGTATTAACCCAGGATAGATTAGATTTGGAGAAATAACTAAGAATCATTAACCATCCTTCCATAACATTAAATAAAATGAATAAGTTAAATACGATTTAATGTTTTATATTGCTTATAATATGATTTATTTCTAAATATTATTTTGACTTATGTAAACGAAAAAAAAATATAAGACAAATATTATTTTATAAAATTATCATGTTTTTTTAATATGTTTTTCTATTTTTATGTAACGTGTAACTATTTTATTAATTTTTAGTTAAATAATTTTAGAAAAAAATTATAATCATATATTAAAATATATATTATTAAAAAATAGATATTAATTTAAAGGTGTTAATTTAAAAAATTATTTCATTTATAAAAAAATAACTATAAATTATATGGATAATTTTGTAATTAAATAAAAAATTAGTTTAATTTATTATTTTTTAAAGAACACTTTTTTCTTTTCATACTACTCTTTTCTTAAATGAAAAAAATATATTTTTTCTCTAATTCATATGTTTTCTGTTTATTTATTTTTCTACATAACCCCCTAAATGGGTTTATTGTTACCACTGTTTTGCTGGGTTTTTTTTTTTTCTCTCAGCCAGAAAACAAACAATATTTTGACTTTTTCAAGAAAATAAAAGGTTTTAAGATATTTATTAATTAATTCTCAAGTTTCATAATTAATTGTAGAGGAAGACCATTGGAGCAGAAAGTAATAATGTATTGGTAGATAAATTTGCATCATACCTATCATTTTTAATAATCTTCACCCATCCCTCTAATTTCGGTCACATTAAATAAATCTAATAAATTCAATGATCTCAAAGTTGTAAAATGGGTCACTCAATTTGCTGGACCCAAAAGTCAAGAAATCTGATACATTCAATATTTTCAACTTAAATGGAGGTTCGTAAATTCATGCCATTTTCGTTGGAAAATTAATAAAGTTATATTTTTCTTGGGCTTAATTTTTATATGTTTCTTTAATTTAATGTAAACCCTAATTGAGTTTGGTCTATTTGCCAAACATGTACATGGATCTCTTTAAGGGTTATTGAAAATTATTTGTTTTATATGTTTTGAATAGGATTGTTATGTTTAATAAATAGATTTAAATCTATTAATTTATCACATTATTAATATATTATTTTAATAGATGGTTTAGGTTAAAAATTAATTATTACTATTCCCGTGTGAAGATTAATCTTCTATCCTTTAGAAATCAAGGTAATGATATCTTTTAATCTTTTTAATAATAAAATTACCATAGATTAAAATTTAAAATATAATAATATATAAATTATTTTATTATTTTTAAGATATTATATTAATGGAAGTATCAAAATTTCTGTTACGAATTTTACCTGTTTAAAAAAACTCTCAACATAAAAATTTATCTAAAAATAGTTAATGAAAAATTATCCAAAATTAGTTAATATTCTAACGAAATAAAAAATTAAACTATAAATTGAAAAAATAAATTTGTTCTTCAGATGTACTAAAAAAATAATAATATCTTAATAAATTCAAATTTTCAATAGAATAAATCTAAAGTTGTGAGACATGAGTTAATTGTCACTCTTTTTTGTTTTCAAAATTTATTTTTTATCATATATCATTTTAATAACTTCATTAAAAAAATAGCACGTTTTTAAATGTTCACATGCTTATTATTTTTATGTGATATGTTATACTATTTTATATTTATAGCAGCATATTTATCTAACTAATAAAATAAATTAGTTATATATTTAGTTTGAATATACAATTCATGTTCCTATTTAAAATGTAAAAAAAATACTAACTTAATTTATACTTGATAACTATTTTCAACTCATAAAAAGCTGGAAGCAGCATGTTCAAATAATAACAATCCTAATAAACTGACCTACAATAAAATTATATATCTTATTAAGGAAATAAACTAAGTCTTTAATTACTTACAACATTATTATAAATCGACGATTCTATGTAATTTAACTTCAAATAATTTTAAATAATATAAAATAAATAAGGATTGAGTACTTATAAATTTAGTATTATTTTTTTAATCCAATAATTAATGTATTATTTTAATGAGGATAAAAAAGATTTTTTTTATAATATAACAATTAAAAAGAATCATCTTTTTAAATTATTTGGACGAGATAAAAGGTAAATATCTTTTTTTTTCTAACTTACCTTAAAAAAGATAATATTTTTTTCGCATAATTTTACAGTTTATGTGTAATTTGATAAACTTTAAATCTAAATATATTTAAAATATGATTATATATATATACATTATTTTTTTAAAAAGACAATTAATTATAAATAAAAATTCAACTAAAGAAACCAACGTTACAAAGTGTAAATGATATATTTGATTTAAAAAGCCAATAATTTAGTTTTAGAAAATTGAAAGACATATAATTTGATTAATTAGTCCATAATTTATTTTGTTAGAAAGCATAAGTGAGAGTTGACATACACGCGTTACAAACTAAAACACTGTTTGTAAAGTATAAACCAGTAGAAGAAGAGTGTTTGAGCACGTGTATCTTATTTGAAAAAGAAAAAGAAAAAAAAAAAATTGACGTGTGTTTTGGGCAAATGAGCTATATGAACATAACAAGTAGTTAAAATAACACACGAAAATTTGAGGCACGTGCTCAAATAATTCACACCATCAATTACCTTTTTCCCTTTTTCATGCACTTGTATGTGTAATTGCCTGGAAATATTATTGTATATGTATAGAGAGAGATTTCACATTCATAAACACATGCAACTCAATTTTATTATATGATAAAGTGCAAATTCCACTTACAAGCACAAATTAGGTTTAAAATTTACTTTTTAAATATATCATAAAAAAACAATGTTGTTATGGATAAAAGAATAAAAATGTTAATGAAAATTTTATATAATTATATTTTTAGTTTTTTTTTTAAATCAACGATTTTTTTTTATAATTTTCATTTTCTAAATTGGATTTTTTTTTTTAATTTTCAGTTTGCAAAAAAATATAAATTATTTTTGTATCTATTGAAAGAAAAGTCGAATAATCATTTTAAGTTGAACATATTACTGTTTTAATATAATCAATTTAAATGTTAGAAAAATGAAAACAAAATTATACAAATTAAAACTAAATTTCATTTATTTTTATAAGAAATAAAAATAATCTTTTAAATATTTTTTTAAATAATGTAAAGTAAAGTAGTCATTTATTTTTATAAGAAAAAAATCATTTATTTGTATATTGATTGATAATAAATGTGATTTTAAAATAATGCGTTGAGATTTTTAAATTATAAATTCGTTCAAGAGTAAATATTGGTCAATACATAATACGTAAAGTAAAATTTAAAATACCTTTTAAATTAAAAGTAAGATAAAAATTTATACAGTATTTTAAATTAGATCAATATACCACATCAATAGCAAATATACTCTATCTTAATTTTTGTATATTTTTTTCCTATAATTTTTGTCGGTAAATATCATTTAAAGAAAGAAAAGAACTGTAACAAGATTTATACATTTACTCACATTATTAATTATTTTTATATGCTATTCCATTCACACTCTCTTTCCTTTCCCCACCCCTTAAATTCAAATACTCTTTTCCTATTTATTACCCATCTTGTTGCATTTTATTTTATCTTTTAAAGTTTTTCCAACAAATAATTTGTCTTGTTTGCTATTTTATAATATCAATAAAATATTATGTATTTTTCTATTTGTATTCTTAATCATTTACTATGTAGTGAGAAAATCAGGTTAAATTGCTCATCGCACTTGGGATATATTTTTTACTACAATATCGTAATACTCATTTTTTTTCATGTCCATGAATTATACAAAACTTCTATACATGTCAATGATGTAAAAATGAATATATATTTATGTATGTCAACATCATATGTTCATTTACCATGTATGGTTCTCTCATTTAGCTACCTAAGATTTTATCCAATGAAAGAGAGTGAAAAGTTTATTTCTTCAAATTATACACTTGATTCATCAATTTAAGCTCAATCCGAATGACAAACTCTTATACCTAGGTGTTCATGCAGTAAGAAAATTAATTTTTGTACTATTTGGATTATTGCTCACTTAACATCTTGTTTTTCTCAACTTTTCTAGAGTTTATCCGAAGTTTATAAAAGGAAAAGTTGGTATATATGGTTTCATAGTACTAAGTGTTCATGCTTTTACGTAATCTTCAAAAAAACATGTATGAAAACATTAATATAATACTCAACTACATGTTACAACATCATTGATTGAGGAAACTATAGTGATTTTCATCATATAATAATTTTTCATGTACAAGGAGATATTATGGTTCAATTTTTATCATCTTTGGTGTCTAGTAAACAAATACAGTTGTATGCAAGGAGAATTGTTCCATACTTTGGAGTGCAACCTAAGGATGTCTCTTGCTTTCTCTTTCAAATAAGAAGCACAATCTGCTTGCATCACCATGCAAAGCTTTGACACAGCTCCAACCCTTAACATCTCTAGAACAACCTCATTTGATGCTGAAAACTTAGCAATCACTGAAAACACATGAAGGGCTCTGTCATCAGTGGCAGCAGAAACCCTCAAAACCCTCTTTGAAACCACTGCAATGCCCGCAGCATGTTTTAGAAGTTGTTCTCTTCCATCAGCACAAGAACACAGATGTGCCAAAAGGTTGAATATGAGCTCTGTCATGTTCTTCTCTGGTTTCTCAAGCTCAAGCTCTATGAGTTGCGTCACTGCACCTGCTTCAACAATCCTGGTTCTGTTTCTACCCAAAAGGCTAGTTTGTATAAGCACATGCAAAGAAGATTTGATAGCTTGTTGAGATAGTACTCTCTTTGTCAATACTCTCACCATTTCCTTGAAGAATTCAAGGCTTAAATTTCCCAAAAGGGTTGAATCAGCAACTTCGATTGTCAACTTCAAAAGGGGCAGTGCTTCGTTTACCAACTTGATGTTGTTGTCATCCAAATGAAGCTTCAAAATCCAAGTCAAAGAGTTGATGAAGTCCAAGCTCTCCCCAACTAGAGTTTTCATGCTGTTGTGATTATCATTTTTCCAAAGAAGATGAACAATTCTCAAAGCTTCTTCTATGCAAATGGTGTTTCCTTCTTGGAAATTATTGTTAATCACCTTGACCATGGCCTTGGCTACACCAGCCTCAGCCATGCAACTTCTGTAACTCTGGCTTTGTGTAGCCAAAGCATGCAACTTCTCCACCGATGTTCCACAAGAATGAGGAGCCTCGAGACCCTTCACAAGTTTCTGAACTTGGATCATGCTTAAAGGGGTTTTCGGGGTTGGAATTCGATCAACACCATTGGCTGTGTTTGTTGAACACCAAGCTTGGATTAGCCTCCGAAGTGTGTGGTTAGGGGTCAAGTATTGAGAGCTTCTTGGAAGTGGTTGTTTTGTAACAGGACACACACAATCTTTGGCCTTACGCAACCACTCCTCTATGCCTTCTCTATCATATGTAATTCCAGTGACAGTAGTCACAGGGTCCTCCATGATCTGAAACGAAATGGGACAAACAAAATATTGAGGGATTTCAACTTCTGCCATTGTGTGACAAGCAAAGCAAAATTGAAAGGATGTGTCTGGAAAGGAACGATGGTTTTGGAGAAAGGAAAAAGTGTTGCTTCTTTCGGTAAGAGATTGTGTTGAATAAATGTTAAGGCATGGAAGATTTATATATATATAAGAGATTGCTCTTTCTTGATAAAGCCATGATGATGAGAATGTGCAAAAGCATGGCCTAATATTTTTGATTTTACGAGTCGTAGTCATAGATGCTGATTACAACTTTATGTTTGTCAATGTTGTGTTGGGTGGTCAAACCTTAACTTGTGTATGTAGTAACGGCTTAAACTACTTTAATTTGTGGGTTTTGAATTGAATTTTAGATGCATGAATGAATCTTCCAAGTGTGCAATGTGCATTATGCAATGCCACGTGGCATGTTCCCAATGGCTGTTTGATTATTTAGGTCGACTTCTACTTAGACTCTGTTGCATTGCTTTCTCCTGTTTCAAACAACCAATGACACGAAATTTCTCAATTTCGGCTGTGGAAGTTAAATTCACGCTAAAACAATGATTCTTCGTGATTTACTTTTCAACATTTTTTATATTTTTTTTATTATTCGTTTACCTTTTATAAAAATGGCAAAATTATATACGAAGACGTGTTGAATAAAGAATGTGATTCAAAATGATGAGGTATTACTAATATATTATCTTCTCATAATCATTTGTATAATTAATCTTTTTTATATTTTTAAATTTAATAGCTATTAGATATAAAATAAATTACTAAAAAGGACAGCCAAAAAGAGTCTAAATCCGATTTACAGTTGTTTCTAATGAATAAATCAAATAGTATTTATTTATTTTACGCAATTTTACTCCTCTATCAATTAAATATTTCAAATTTAAAAATATAATAACGTAACCCTCGTACTACAAATAACATCATTAAATTTATAATTCACATTAATTAATTATGAATTTGCCGCAATATATAAACTAAAAGAGTTAATATTATTTATTTGTTAAAAATGCTAATGTTAATAGGATACATGTGTGTCAAACTAGTTTTTTTTTTTTTTTTTAAATTAAGGGAGTGGATTGAAAATTTTATTAATAAATAAGAAAATAAGAAAGTAAAAGTTGTTAAATTTCGGTCTATAACAGAGAATATGTTAAAAAATTGTGTTTATAAGATTATTTTAAATTAAGGAAGATTGTTGAACCAAATTATTATTGGTGTACATTTTGATATTGTTTATACAAGTATTTTTATTTGTAGAAACAATATTGTTTAATATTTTAAAAAATAAAAACATTTTTTTATATATCTTGAAGTAGAGAAATTGAAGAGATAAAAATTTTAATGTTCATATATAAGATTTATATTACAGGAATCACAAAACAATGTTAAACATTCATCAATTTTATCACTGCAATGATTTTCTTTGTTTATATATATATATATATAAAGCGAGAGAGAACTTAAACTCATATAATATTATAAAGGCTATAAACTCAATAAATAACTTATTTTTTAACTTTACTAGATGCTCTAACAAGAATACCAAGGTGAGATAACATGCTTCATTTATGTCCTAATCAAGAAGGGGTAAGTTGACCGTTAACAAAAGTTGATTGGGGTTAAGATATTTTAAAAATATCCTAATATGATTTTTTTTCTAAATTATTCTAATTTAATTGCAAAGATAGGTTATGGTTAGAATTATTAGATTAAAAAAATACTATAAAGTAACAATCTTTATTTTAATAAATTAATTTTATCATATTTAAAATAAAACATAATTTAAAATATAAAAATTTAAATAAATTTTTTTCCAATTATATGATAATTTTAGTTGAAAATTTGTTGGGAGGAATCTCAACTTTAAAAAGAATTGATATTAAATAGAGTAAAGGTTGAAATTTTTCTTTAAGATAATTTTTTAAAAATATAAAACTTTTATATTTAAACATAAACAAACATACTCTATCCAAAATTAAATTCTTATTTTTTTTCATATCAAATGTTTTATCCTATCATATTTTTAAATAAAATAAGTTTTATGTTAATCAATTTTAGAGTTTTTCTACAAATTAGGACTAGAGTTTACATGTAGGTCTATATAACTCTTATATGTGAATTTTGTGGAAATAGAGATGAATCGTTACTATTTTAAGAGCACTGTGGTGAACTCGATTTGTTAATTGAAGTTTTTGATAACTAAGATTTCACTTCTTATAAGTTTAAAAGTTTTTGGAATGTTTGACCATATGTTATAAAATTAAGATAAGGAAATATAATAATAAATTATTTAGCACCTTAAGATAAATAAACTTGATTTTAACGATGACTTGATCACATTATTTAAATTACAAGAACTTGATTATGAAATTAAGTTTTTATACCGTATAAAAAATTGTGATTATATATGTAGATTTAAAATAATGATGCGTGAAAAAATATGTGTCAAATATTATGATATAATAATTATATTTAGACTATGTATGACATGTTTTAGAAGAAAATTATATAATAAAGTATTAAATAATTGTGTTTGGTGTCTAGAAACTTATTTGACATGAGTTATGTAGATATGTTATTTACGAAATTTCTTCAAGTGAAATGTGCAATAGAAGTAAGGTTCTTCTTAGGAGTATTTTTGCTAAAAGAAAACTCTTGCTAAAACGAAAATGGCTCCTAGAAATAAGAGACTTGTTTTGGTCTCATTTTTTCTCAAGTGAAAAATTCTCAATGAAATTATTTTAGGTGTATTTTCACTCAAGCAAATAAATTTTTACTCAAATAAAAGGAATTGTCCCTTAAGCAAAAATTTTATTACTCAGTCAAAATTTTTCTAAAGAAGAAGATGGTTTTCTAGAATGTTTTCACTTAAGCAAAAATTTCCTAAAAGCTTAAAAATGCACTACTAGAAAATATACTTTCAACGTCGCTGTTTAACGTCGGTTACATCTTAGCCGACGTTGAACATGCTTTCAACGTCGGTTGGTCAACAACCGACGTCGAAAGTCGAATTTTGACACATTCTACGTCATTTTAGCATGCACGACGTGGAAAAGTAGGCTTTCGACGTCGGTTATGCCCTCACCCGACGTTGAAAACCCTTCTGAACTCATTATGACCGATCAGAATACAAATATGACCGATCAGAATCGAATGTGATCGATCAGATTTTAATTATGAGCGATCAGAAGTTTTTCAATCGATTAAAAACACGTTTCAATCGATTAAAATCTCTTAAAGGGTCAGGATGATCGATCAGAATCCAGTTATGACCGATCAGAACTATTTTAATCGATTAAATCTCGTTTCAATCGATTAAAACATATGACTGGAAGATAAATCGAGTTTCAACGTCGAGTGTGGGTATAACCGACGTCGAAACCCCGTTTTCCCATTTGAATAGGCTACCATATGCATTTTTGTATCTCCCCTTACTCTCCGAGCATCGCGCCCACTCCCTTACTCTCCAAGCATCGCGGCCACCACCTACCACCGTCATTTGGACTCTCCGGACGCCCTCCCTCACGTCGCCACCGCGCACCGCGTGACACCCCGCCGCAAGCACCTCCACCCCACCTGCAGCTTCCACCCCACCGCGACGCTAGTCGCCCACCCTCCACCCCCACCGCAGCCTCCACCCACATTGCATTGTCCGCTCACCACGGCCTCAACCCTAATGCCGCATTGCATCCTCCACCTCCACCCCAGTGCAGTGCCTGCTCTGTTTCTCGTGGTGCGAACCTTCATCGCTGCCTTAAACCACAGGTACGATGTTGTTGCACTTATATTTGTTGGTCAAAGTCATACAATTTTACTTACTACATTTCATAGGTAGAGATTGTTAGTCATTTGCCGTTAACTGTTGATTCAATTCTTAGTCATATTATAGTTTTTTTCAATGTATTGATGATGTGTACAATTATACTTGAACTGCTTGAATATGCCCGTGGGGCTTTTTATTGTCAGGTTTCACTGTGTCATTTAAAATTGTTGCCAAAAAACAAAGGAAACTTCTACAGGATTTTTGTTAGAAATTAATCATGAAGTGTGAATTCTGAAAACTACATATAACAATGTAGTTATATAAGTGATGGTAGTAACAATGAAAACTCTATAATTTCAATTTATACAAATTTGGTTTTGACCAAAAAATAGACGAAATTCTGTTGAAATTTCGTTACAAATTAATCTACTTTGGTATAGATTTCATTAGAGATAACGATTATTAGTAATAATCGTTTTATGGGTTTCTCATTTGTAGACTCCAATTCCAAAATGGATCGAAGTTGGGTAAATGCAAGTCGTATTTCACAAGAGTATGAGAATGGAGTTGAAGAATTTTTGCGATTTGCAGAACACAATGGCACCAAGGTTAATGGAAAATTGTATTGTCCATGCGTTAACTGCGTTAATGGGAGAGTACACACACTAGAGACAATACGAGAACATCTTTTATGTGATGGGATAATGAAGAATTATATCCTATGGACATGGCATGGTGAAGTGATTGATACACCAATAGTAACACAAGCTGAGGAAGAGGAGGATATGACAATGGAAGATCGAATAGAAGACATGATTCGTGATGTAGGTCAAGAGAATTTTCTGCAAGCACATGCTGCTCGTCTATGATAAATTGAAAATAGATTCGGAGATACCTCTCGTATGCTTGGATGTACAACATTCACGCGATTGTCAGCTGTATTGAGATTGGTGAATTTGAAGGCCAAATTTGGTTGGAGTGATAAAAGTTTCACTAAGTTACTAGAAGTTTTGAAAGATATGCTCCCAAGCGATAACACCTTGCCTGATCGTATGTATGAAGCCAAAAAAATACTTTGTCCAATGGGTTTACAGTATAAAAAGATACATGCTTGCCCTAATGATTGTGTATTATACGAGAAAGAGTTTGAAAGCCTACATGAGTGTCCAAGATGTGGTGTATCGCGTTACAAATTGAAAGACAAGGATGATAATAGCGAATGTATTGATAGAAAGAGACCTCCTGCAAA